TGGAGCTTGGGGTCTGCCGATGGCCGTGTTGAGGTACCTGAGTCATAGGAAACAATTTGTGATATTTAAACGCCTTTTATCCCAAGTCATCCTCTGCTGTGAGTCTTTGTGGGATGCAAACGTTTGATGTCGGTTGACATAAAATTGCAGCAAATGGGGGATATTTTGGGGGCTGAATCATGGCTCCGCAGAGTAAATGTAGAAGAAAAACCTCCCATCACCTCTCGATTATAAACAGATCTTCACTGGACTATTCTGGAATCTAGAGAACTGCTAAATATAAACGCCGCTCATAAACCAGTAACTCTGGTCATTACTTCCGTGTCTAACCTGGGTCCCGCTTCTTGTCACCCCACAGACCCCCTACTTCTGGCCGTCCAATTGCTGGGAGCCGGAAAACACGGACTACGGTCAGTGCAATGTCTCCTTTTATGTGGGGCAGCCGTGTGGCTGCGTGAACATGTGCTCGCATGTTACTGCTTCTGTGATGGAGAAAAGAACACGACCCTTCTGTGTTTCTAACACGGAATTTAGGAATGGCTGTGGTTTTTGAAAAGTTATACCAAACCCAGTGGCAGCTCTTTCCATGGAATAGTGTCCGCTGAGGCTGTTACAGGAAAATAGATTTTCTTCTGAAAAGGGTAAAGACCGATACGCAAGCTTTAAAGAAAGGCTCTTAGTATTTTTCCATCGCACGTTGGTCTACTAGAAAGAGTTATTACAAAGGGGCTCAGAGGGCCAGAGTTCTAGCTCACCCTACCAGGCTGTGGGAATTGTGGTAAGCCCATTGACTCTCTGAGGCTTAATTTTCTCACTATTTTTAAAAAATACATTTTTATTGATTTCAGAGAGGAAGGGAGAGGGAGAGAGAGAAAGAGAAACATCAATGATGAAAGAGAATCATGGATCGGCTGCCTCCTGCACGGCCCACACTGAGGATGGAGCCCGTAACCCGGGCATGTGCCCTGACCGGGAATCGAACCGTGACCTCCTGGTTCCTAGGTCGATGCTCCACCACTGAGCCACGCCGGCCTGGCTGATTGCACTGTTTCTCCGGCTGTTAAGTATACCGAATGTGCTATGCCATTGTATTTCCGTCATTGTCACGGAACACATTCTGGCAGGCTGTACATTCTGTGACGGCCTAGGCTGTGCTTTTGTGTTAAGTGTGAGGTGTTGGGTTCTCATTACAGAAGCTTCTGGTTAGGCCAACAAATGTTTTTCTGAGCCTGCGGAGTCCCCTGCTGTTGCTCTCTGGTTTCTCGGTAAAGCTTTGGCCCGCTCCCAGCTGTTGTAATAAAAGTGACGGTGGTAACACATGGTACTCACAGGTCGCTGTGCTATTTGTCAGGTTCCAGTGTTGTACCTCCAGCTGATGACCTGGACGGGGGAGCAAAAAGCAGAGCTTGCAAAGCCTTCCCAAACAGACTTCTGTTTTAAAATAGACATTCTTACTGATTTCAGGGAGGGAGGAAGAGGGAGAAGGAGAAGGAGAGGGAGAGAGAACTGGAAACATCCATGATGAGAGAGAATCACGGATCGGCTGCCTCCTGCACGCCCCACACTGGGGATGGAGCCCGAAACCCGGGCATGTGCCCTGAGCGGGAATCGAACCCTGACCTCCTGGTTCCCAGGTCGACGCTCAACCACTGAGCCACGCCGGCCGGGCCGTATTTCTGTTTTAAATGTATTTTACCAGCTGGACAATGTCTCTGCTTAGGTTGCAGGAGGATCTAGGATTTCTCGGCCCAACTGACTCTCTCAATTCTCAGTTCAAACCACCGGATGCAATACCTGGTCGCTAGAATATGCCAAGAGTGACTTGTGGGAATGGACTCACCAGGGCACTATTTTAGCCTTGAATAAATTAATGAACAAATAAGCACATTTAATTGAAGTCATATCCTACGTTTGAAAAACTGCATCCACTTTAACTTCTTAGTATATTGTGGCTAACCAATGCTTAAAGGAACGTGTGCATTACCGAGAGGTTCTGAATGGGAACTGCTGTTCAGAACATGAGAAGTGAAGTTACTGCCCTGACCGGTTTGGCTCAGTGGATAGAGCATCGGCCTGCGGACTGAAGGGTCCCAGGTTCGATTCCGGTCAAGGGCATGTACCTCGGTTGCGGGCACATCCCCAGTAGGGGCTGTGCAGGAGGCAGCTGGTCGATGTTTCTCTCTCATCGATGTTTCTAACTCTCTATCCCTCTCCCTTCCTCTCTGTAAAAAATCAATAAAATATATTTTAAAAAAAGAAGTGAAGTTATTGCTAAGGTTGTAAAGCCAAATACCAATTTCTTAAAATCACATGTTCTTTTATTTGTGTTTTTTGGTTTTTCTAATTCTTCACTTTCTATTTATTGTTTCATTTTTTTCCCTAATTGTTGAAAGTATTACAGATGTCCCCTTTGTTGGTTTGTATGTTTTTCCCCAATGACCCCCCTCCACCCTGCACCCGCCCCTCCCAGGCCTTCCCTACCCTATGGTCTGTCCCCCACCCCCCTCCTTCCCTCTGAAATAAGTCAGTCTGTTCCGTGCGTCCGTGTCTCTGGACCTCTTTTGTTCATCAGTTCATTTTGTTCATTAGCTTCCACCTGAGTGAGATCATGCGATACTTATCTTTCTCTGACTGGCTTATTTCGCTCAGCATGATGCTGTCCAGGTCCCTCCATGCTGTCACATGTCCTTTTGATTCTGAAGTGACCGTTTTATAATCAGTCCCAACAAAAGACCTGATCATCTGCCCCCTGCACCTACATTTGCATGATGCGTTATGTTTCCAAAAGGCTATACATTGAGAGTTTCCTTCACTGTTCACAGCCGTGAAATCTGAAAAAAAAAAAAAAAAAGGACGTTAAAATTCTCATTTCTCAGGAACCTGGCTCAGCGAGGGCCGATGCCTTTACTTACCTCACTGGGACCAGGCATCCGCTTACTGATTTGAGAATGATTCCTCCGCTGTTCATCTGCGGGAACTCTGGCTTTTACCCTTTTCATGTTTTTCTGGGGTTGGTGGGAAAATTTGGCCCACTCATTCCTTGTATTGATTTTAGAGGGTCCCTAGGCCTGGCCGGCAATCAGGGCCAATCTGTGGGGCGACCAGCGGGGCAGTTGAGGGCCCCCCCCCCCCCCCCGCTGGTACATGCCTTGGCTGGCCTGGGGGCAGCTCCTGCATTGAGCGTCTGCCCCCTGGTGGTCAGTGCGCATCATAGTGGCCGGTTGTTCCACCAGTCGTTCCGCCGTTTGGTCAATTTGCATATTAGGCTTTTATTATATAGGATAGGATAATCTTGAGGCGAATTCTAAGCCCATTCACAGCCCTCAAGAACTGCTCGATTACCCATCACTTCCCCTCTCATCCTTTAAGGAATCCGGAAACCATGCTGGGAACCTCTGGAGAAGATCCAAAGGAAAGGAAAGGATACAATAATCAGGTCAAGTTTAAGGCTTAAACATTAAAGGTCAGCTTTTTAGAGGTCAACGAAACAGGTCCTTCACTGTGTTTGCAAAGTTCTGGCTCACCCCAGTCCTTTTTCTTTCTGCATCCCTTAGGCTATTTTAATCCTCTCTCCTTGTACGTCCGGCGTGTCCTTAGGCGCCTTATTTCCGCAGGAAGATGTATGAAACCGCTCCCAAGGTTGCCTTCCTTTTAGGATCTACCCTTGATTCAGGCTGAATATTTCTCTAACTGGGTTCAGATTTCAACTCCGCTGCTGACTAGCCCTGTCCTTGAAAACTTGTATCCTCAGCCCAGCCCAAACTTTGAGAGGAGGGAATTACACACACGTTAGCCGGAGGGTCGACCTAGGAACCAGGAGGTCACGGTTCCATTCCCGGTCAAGGGCACATGCCTGGGTTGCCGGCTCAGTCCCCAGTAGGGGGCGTGCTGGAGGCAGCCAATCCATGCTTCTCCCTCCTCACTGATGTTTCTCTCTCTCTCTCTCTCTCTCTCTCTCTCTCTCTCTCTCTCTCTTCCTTCCTCTCTAAAATCAATACAAATATATTTTTTAAAAGTTGTATAAACACTCAGTGCCTCAGTTCCCCTGTAAGACAGTAGCCTCTGTGGAGGATTAACTGGCTAATTTATAAACAGTGCCTGGCCTCCAGCAAGTGCTAGATAATCATGAACTTATTCTTATTTTCAAGCTATTATTCATAGTATCATTACCTTCCAAAAAGGAGAGACCTCCGCGGCCCTCCGTCAGCCAGGAAACAGGCTTTTATTTGATTAATCCACTTTATGGCAGAGCTCAGGACAGGAGTGCGAGGTTGAGGGGGGGAGGGCAGGGAACCAAGATTCCGCAAACCAGCTTTTCTTGTGGGAAACAGGAGGAGTGAAGACACGAGAGATGGAAACTTGGAGAAGAAGGAAATACACACACGTTAGCCAAGTCTTTTATTTAAAATCAGCTTTTCCACCCGGCCGGCGTGGCTCTGTGGTTGAGCATCAACCTATGAACCGGGAGGTTGGGGTTTGATTCCCGGTCAGGGCACATGCCTGGGTTGCGGGCTCGATCCCCAGTGTGGGGCGTGCAGAAGGCAGCTGGTCAGTGATTCTCTCTTATCATTGCTGTTTCTGTCTCTCCCTCTCCCTTCCTCTCTGACATCAATAAAAATATATATTAAAAATAAGTAAATGAAATCAGGGTGTTTTTTTTCCACTCTACCACCTGCTTCCCTGAGCGCCGCCGTCACCTCCAGTGTAGATTAGGTATTGGGGTCACCATCCAACAGACCCAGAACTGTTTTCAGATTTGCCGTCGCCTGGGATGTTCTGTGCTCAACTTTCAAAATCACCACGTGAGTCATATCAGCTTGCATTCCGTTTAGATCATAACAGGAACCAGGTGCATTAATTTGGAGCAAAACAGAATGCGTTTCAACCATCAGTAAGAGAGCGACTGTGTTGTGCTCTTTTCTATGGTATTACTATTTTTTTAAATTGTGCTGCTACCCACTTTTTTTTACAATCCATTTGCCTCATGTAAGCTTGAGTGATTTTTTAAAAAATATATTTGTATTGATTTTAGAAAGAGGAAGGGAGAGGGTTAGACGCAGTGGTTCTCAACCTTCTGGCCCTTTAAATACAGTTCCTCATGTTGTGACCCGACCATAAAATTATTTTTGTTGCTACTGCATAACTGTCATGTTGCTACTGTTATGAATCGTCATGTAAATATCTGATATGCAGGATGGTCTTAGGCGACCCCTGTGGAAGGGTCGTTGGACCGCCAAAGGGGTCTCGACCCACAGGTTGAGAACCGCTGGCTTAGAGAGATAGAAACATTGATCAATCAAGGTACATGCCCTTGACCAGAATCCAACCTGAGACCCTTCGGTCCGAGGGGCCGACAATCTATCCACTGAGCCACACCGGTTAGGACTCACCTTGAGTCATTTTTTAAATGTCAGTCACATCCTATCACACTGCTCACACCCCTCAGAGGTGCCCATGACACCAGGACCACACCCCAGCCCGTTGCCTGAGCCCCCTACCCGCCCCCCCCAGGACCCACCCTGCTCTCCCCGTTCTGGCAGCCCGGCTGGTCCCCTGCACAGGGCAGTCCTTGCTGTGCTCTGATGGGAACCCTGCCCTCAGCTCTTTCTCGGGCTGGTTGGATCTCCCCGTTGAGGTCTCAACGCAGATGTTACCTCTGCAGAGAGGTCTTTTAGGATCCGACCCCGTGACGTTAACTTGGTCCCTCCACCCCCATCTCTGTCTATCCCCGCCCCCCTGTCTCTCTCTCACAGCCTGTGCTTCAGCGCCGTGGGTTTTATTGTCCAAGGCCCGACGTTAACTCTTGCCTCCACCAAGAATCACTTAATCTCATCCAACCTACCCGGCCTCATCTGCAAGATGGGGAAATTAATAGCGCCTGCTCGTAATAGCACTGCGCAGTTTAAACTGTGCAACGTATAGGGAACACTTAAGTAATTCTTGGCACACGCAGAGCATCCAGTAAATATCGATGTCGTTGCTACACTGTGTTTAGCACTGCCCGTTGTCTGTCACGCTCTAGAGTCTATAGACCGACACGATGCAAGCTAAGAGCAGCGATGGCCCCCTGGGCTCGTCACGGTGTCCCTGGGGCTTAGAACAAGCTTGGCACAGGGTGGGCACTCAGGGGCCATTCACTGAACAAACGAATGCAGCCACTCTCCATCCACACACCTCTGGCTTTTTCTTCTTATATTTTCTCCCCTTGAAAGCAGATATTCAGTCTTATGGGAATTCGGATACTTTGAAGCTTTGAGTCATTACTTGACATAGGCCCTCGCATCCCCTTAAGATGATGAAAACCTTTATTCTTAGAAGATGGTAAAGCTACCATTCTTTAGTTTTACCGGGACAGACTGAAAGAGTAATTGATACGATGGCGCCCCCTTGAGGCAGAGGGTGGGATTACAGTGCCCCACTTCCCCACTCCAAGCCATCACCCCCAAACCCTCACCCCCTTGCGGGGGGGGGGGAAATTGGAAGCAGGGTTCCCTGCCTTCTCCAAGCCATCCTTACTTTGACTTTCTCATGGCGGACAGAGCTCGCATCTGTTTTGTTCACAGCTGTACTTCCCTCACTGAAATCACAGCCTGGAACAGTGATGGCGAACCTCCGACATGCGAACTCATTTTTTGGGTTGATTTTTCTTTGTTAAATGGCATTTAAATATATAAAATAAATATCAAAAATATACGTCTTTGTTTTACTGTGGTTTCAAATAGCAAAAAATTTCTATATGTGACACGGCACCAGAGTGAAGTTAGGGTTTTTCAAAATGCTGACACGCCGAGCTCAAAAGGTTCGCCATCACTGGTCTAGAACGTAGTAGACATTTAGTAAAATATCTGTTGCATGAATAAATACATGGATGAAAAAAGAATAATTTTCTTTTTCTTTCTCCCCTGAAGCCCCTGAACGTTGGGGGCCACTGTTAACAGACAGTATTGATCACTTGCTTAGCTGTCTGCAGGGCTTCCATAGTGAGATGATAAGAGAGCATAAGAATGAAAATAATGCGCAAAGAACAAAATTGAAAATAAAAAATAATTTAATTCTGTCAAATTGCCTGTTATAAAGAAAACGAGTCATATGTTTCCTAACATTTATATTTAAGGTAAAGATTGTAAAGGTTTCGGAGTCCTTGGGCCGTGTACTCCTGGATATAAGACATATGAGTTTCGTTTTTATTATTTAAAATTCTTGGCATTGCTAGTTCATGGAAGTTCTACAAGGAAGAGGCATCCAACAACTGTGACACTAAAAATCTCAAACAGCCCTAGCTGGTGTGGCTCAGTGGATAGAGTGTCGGCCTGCAGACTGAAGGGTCTTGGGTTTGATTCTGGCCAAGGGCACACACCTGGGTTGCGGGCTCTATCCCCAGTAGGGGGCGTGCAGGAGGCAGCAGATCCACGATTCTCTCTCATCATGGATATTCCTATCTCTCCCTCTATCTTCCTCTCTGAAATCAATAAAAATATGTATATTTTTAAAAAATGTCACAGGCCAGACAGCTATGGCCAAAGATGTATAACTTCCTAGTGAAGACGCATCTTAAAATGTTACCCTCCCCTTGCTTTTATTCATGCGTTTCCCTCATGAGTTTAGGAGTATATTTTCCAAAAGGGGTCTTATATTGACCAGAACAACGATGTAAATGACCAGAATCAATAAAGCAGGTGGCAGCTGAGGAGGACTGACGGATGGGACACTTAGCTGGGCTGGAAATTTGATGAAAGGTAATTCTGCAGCAAACGCGGACATGATTCAATCCGCTGTTTAAGTAGATTCCATCTTTTCCTCCTGAAGAGACACCATCGAGGGTATTGCACGTCCACTACCATCTCTCCTACCAACTGCGGAAACCATTTGGCATATTCTGTTGAGCTCACAGCGGCCTGTGCAGGGGGACTTTTCCAAGAGTGAGCACAGACGACGGCAATCCGAGCGTTAACACATCGCGTCGCTTCCGTTGTTGAACTTGGACTTTTACCCGTTTGGAACCTCAGTAATGGTGCAATCCAGTAATTTGAAAGTCACTCCTATTACTAGAAAAACACAGCTACCGTGGGAGGCTGTAGAGCAGTGATGGCGAACCTATGACACGCGTGTCAGGGGTGACACGCGAACTCATTTTTGGGGTTGATTTTTCTTTGTTAAATGGCATTTAAATATATAAAATAAATATCAAAAGTATAAGTCTTTGTGTTACTGTGGTTGCAAATATCAAAAAATTTCTATGTGTGACACGGCACCAGAGTGAAGTTGGGGTTTTTCAAAATGCTGACACACCGAGCTCAAAAGGTTCGCCATCACTGCTGTGGAAAGATGTGTGCTAAAATCATCACTTCGGTTCCCAGTGTTTGCAGTGACGTTAGCGTCATTCCGTGGTTGGCTGTCCTTCGCCTTGACCTTCATACAGGAAACCGTAGGAGGCAGACATTGAAGAGATGGCGCCCATGTTTGCAGCGGCCTCAGATTTTCTGTATTTCCCGGCTGTTTCCTCAGTGATACCAGAGAGACTTCATTATCAAAGCCAGTGGGGGGTGCAGCTCAGTACAAAGACAGTGTTCCTGAGGCACCCCCAGAGCTAGCCTTACAGACAGTGGGTAGTCCTCCTCCAGTGGCTTAATCAGCATCTAGAATAGGTAGAGCATAGGTCGAATTTCATGAGACGCAAGTAGCATAGATTATGGAAAAATGAGAAACGTATTCTGGTCATCGGGACTGTCCCAGAGGGCTTGGAATGGCCTGATATTATTGAGAGTCGCTGGTAGTCCTAGAATAAATGCTCGATGGCCATGCTGGTGTCACCGTCCTTTCTCCATCTGTCATCCCAGATGGACTGTCTCTGGCAAGCAAGCAGACGCTTCCCCCAGGGAAATGGAATGAACAGGTAGTTGCATTGTCGCGAGGTAAGAGGTCAGACTCTCTCCTCTGGTGACAAAGCAATCGGTTGATGGTGGACGATTAAGAAATGATGTAAAGAAGATGCAAGAAGCCTTCCGTTTAGATGAATAGATTTTTTCCAGTTGAGGGTAGAATACAGAAACAATTGAATGTGCAACAGTGATGCCTTCTACAAAATGGTGCCGATTGTACATCTAGATGTTTAAGTTCTTTTGATGTCTTATTGAAAAGCTTTATCTTTTCCCCTTATTTTTGGAGGAAGCTAAAATTGTGGCAACTAGTGACTAAAAATAAAGACATGTTTACCAAGTTTCTAAACATGTTTGATTTCTTATAAACACCACCGTTTGAATGTCAGTGATAATGGTACAAATCCTTTATCTAAAAAAGATGAGGAGTCCAGCTGGCATGGCTCAGTGGTTGAGTGTCAACCTATGAACCAGGAGGTCACGGTTCCATTCCCGGTCGGGGCACATGCCTGGGTTGTGGGCTTGATCCCCAGTAGGAGGCGTGCAGGAGGCAGCCGATCCATGATTCTCTCTCATCATTGATGTTTCTCTCTCTCTCTCCCACTTCCTTCCTCTCTGAAATCAATAAAAAAATATTTTTTAAAATAAGGAAATTACAACCAATTTTTTAAAAAGTGGCAAAGACCAATACTTCTTGCTGCGTAAGGCTGTATTTTTGTTGTCGGTGCCTCGGTGTGAATAGGCGGGCAGGAGATGACTGATTTTTGATTTGTTTCCTTCCAGCGGTTTACCTCTGCAAGAGAACGATGCAGAACAAGGCCCGGCTGGAGCTCGCCGACTATGAAGCTGTGAGTACTAAGGACATTCTACCCAAGAAAGTCATAAAATGAACAGGAATAAGGCTCATTTCAGGCCTCCGTCAACTTCCTCCATTCGTGGGCTGTGAGGGTCAGATTTTCAAGGGATCAGGTAGCGTAAGACTTAATAAATCTCTGACTTGCTTGCTTTCTCTCATTCTCATCGAAGACAATGACATTCTAAGTGCACAAACTCAGGGTAGAAGGGGGAGTATATCTTATTTGCAAAAATGGGCTTCAGCCCGGCCGGTGTGACTCAGTGGTGGAGTGTCAACCTATGAACCAGGAGGTCATAGTTCGATTCCAGGCCAGGGCACATGCCCGGGTTGCAGGCTCGATCCCCAGTGTGAGGTGTGCAGGAGGCAGCCGACCCACGATTCTCTCTCATCATGGATGTTTCTCTCTCTCTCTCTCTCCCTCTCACCCTCCTCTCTGAAATCAATAAATAAATACATATTTTTTAAATGGGCTTAAGTGTAAACACTTTAGATACTTATTTATTATAGTGAAGATAGCCAAATTTAGAGAATTAAAGAGCATTTACACCGGGAAAATAGATTATGCAAAACTTTCCGGTTGGTCACCATCAGCAGATTCAATTACTCTGATGTCATCTGTTCAGGTAACTGCTGTGTTGTGATTTCACTGTCTGGAAAGGGTAGCAGGCTGGCAGGCATTTTCGCTGTTGTCAAGAACTGGGTGACTGATGGAATCAGCAGTAGAATCTGCAAAGTGGGCACACATTCTACTATATGATTCTTAAGTCTCATGAAATTGGATACACGCTCTATCTATTCTAGATGCTGATGGAGCACTTTTTTTTATGCAAGGGAATTTTAGCCTTTTGGACTCTTAGCTGTGTTCCCTGAAGGCAATTACTCATAAAAATTAATATTTGTGACAGGTCTCCCCGTGTTTCTCTATGGCTGGGAATGATAGTCTTGGCCGTATTCAGTGAACGTGACTTATCATTCACGCCGGAGTGCATTTTCTACTTTAGAGAGTCTGTATTTGTTTTCTTTATTTTTAAAAAAAATATGTTTTTATTGATTTTTAAAGAGAGAGGGAGGGAGAGGGAGATATGGAAACACCAATGATGAGAGAGAATCATGGATCAATGCCTCCTGCACGCCCCCTACTGGGGATCAAGCCCGCAACCTGGGCATGTGCCCTGACCGGGAATCGAACCGTGACCCCCCGGTTCATGGGTCGATGCCAAACCACTGAGCAACACCGGCCGGGCTCTATTTCTCTTCTTGAATACATATGGCGGGTAAACTAGAAGGGGAGAGGGAAGATGAACAGCGGAACGTCTTCACCGGTGCTGTACTTTGCAGGAGAGCCTGGCCCGGCTGCAGAGAGCATTCGCCCGCAAGTGGGAGTTCATCTTCATGCAAGCAGAGGCACAGGCAAAGTGAGTCCTTGTGAGTCTCCTGGAAGCTTCGTTCCAGTTGCAAGGGAACTTTAGCCTTTTGGGACTGAGCGAGATGGGCTGGACCCGGCCCTTTGTTCAGGGAGCCACCGCGGTGAGCGCTACTGACGGCTCTTTGTTCCGCTGTTGACAGAGTGGACAAGAAGAGGGACAAGAGGGCCTTCTGGGACGTGCACCGCCCTGTGGTAAGCCGTCGTGCCCCCACGGCCTCCAGGCATCACCCCCGGCCCCCACGGCCTCCAGGCATCACCCCCGCCTTAGAAGACGATTGTAACCCCATAATTTCCCCAAAGTCTTGGCAAATTAGTTAAGGAAAGATTGCCACTTTTGTGTAAGATGACCAGGGTTCAGTGATGCAGAATCTACTAGCATATACATAAAAGCCTAAGCGACCGTTCGACCGGTCGCCTGGTTGCTATGACACGCACTGACCACCAGGGGGCAGATGCTCCAACCAGTAGGTTAGCTTGCTGCTGGGGTCCAGCCGATCGGGACTGGGCGAGATGGGCTGGACACGCCCTGGAGCCCTCTGTGGTCCCTCCCGGCCCTGATTGTGCACCAGTGTGAGGGCCTCTAGTTTAATTTATAAAACTGCATTTTTTCCACCGTGATATCACTTGCTTACTTACTCTCGGCATTGGAGTTGCTTGATCCTTTCAAACACTCGAAGGAAGGAAACACATGGGGAGCAGGCCTAAGCCGTCAGTCGGACATCCCCCGAGGGCTCCTGGACTGCGAGAGGGTGCAGGTCGGGCTGAGTGACCCCCCCATCCAAGTGCATGATTTTCGTGCACTGGGCCTCTAGATTCGAATAAATAACAGGTTCCCGGCATCACAGGAATCAAGATTGATGAGAATACCTTGAAACTGTCCTCTCGATTATCTTCAGGCTCGGAACAAAATAGGTCTGCCTTCCAAAAATTTGTTTCAGACGCATCTATGTCAATTTCAGATAGCAGTGCAGCTGTTAAAATCCCTGTTGAGTTTTTTTTTTTCTCTTTTGAATTCACAGAAGATTGGAACTGAGACTTAACTGCCTTTCCTACTCAAAATTCAGCTTGAGTTTTATTGCAAACAGTGAAAAAGGATTATGAGTTCCGAGGCATAAGTACTGCAAGGCTGTGAAGTAGGGTTTTGCTTATTTGTTGGTTCATTTGAAGCCATCTCTAGAAGCAGGTCATCGCTCTGTCTCCGTGTGTGTCCACTTTAGGCCCCTGGACCTTTCATGCTCCTGGGAGCCCAGGAGGACTCCCCATGCCGGCTCCCCGGCACTTTCAATTGCTCAATTTTTCGGTAAACCTAAAACTGCTCAAAAATAGTATTTTTTTTTAAAAAAAAAGCTTAGATAAAACTCTTTTAATTGTTCTTAATATATTTTTTAAAATTTATTTCACAGAGGAAGGGAGAGGGAGAGAGAGAGAAACATCAATGATGAGAATCATCGATCGGCTGCCTCTTGCATGCCCCCTACTGGGGATTGAGCCCACAACCCGGCATGTGCCCTGACTGGGAATGGAACCATGATCTCCTGGTTCATAGGTCGATGCTCAGCCACTCCCTTCCTCTCTGAACTCAATAAAAAAATATTTTTTAAAAAAACATGTACTGTGTCACAAAAGGAAAAATCTTTTCCCATCATTTAATTGTATTTGAACCCATAAGTATGTCTGTTATAAACTCTAAGTTTCCAGAATCCCGTCTTTTTGAAGGATTTCCAGGAATTTGCATATATCTTACTGTCAACTCTGTTTGCCACCTCGTTCTGAAATCTCCCTCCCTTTCTCGTGTAGGGCATCATTTTTCTCAGTCACACATCAGCTACAGTGATTGATTTTATTTTATTATTATTTTATCAATCCTCACCCGAGGATAATTTTCCCATTGATTTCTTAGAGAATGGAAGGGAGGGAGGAAGGGCGAGGGAGAGAGGGAGAGAAACATCCATGTGGGAGAGATTGGTTTGAGAGACTTGCTCTCCATTGCTGACTCGGAGCTCTGCTCTTCTGAAGGGTCTTGTTATCCCAAATCACTCAAACACATGTGCCTCCTGCTGCAATGAATAAAAACGCATTATGCCAGGAAAGGAATTAAATGGCATTTACCTTCCTTTAAATAAAATATCAACAATAAAACCAAAAAATTCCAGCGTCTGTTTCACAGCCCATTAAGGCATTTCCACGAACATGGCGGCAGTCATATTTCTCAGTAACGTGCACCTTTTGCTCCTTCGGGAATGGATTCCGAGGCGTTCAATTCTGCCTTTTAATAAATAGTATGAAAGTAACGCGACGGCACAGCTTAATTCTGTTGAAAATAAATGCAGCTTTAAATCGCTGGGAATAACTTATGATTCTTTTCTAGGCCAATGTAAATACCACATATTATTCCTTACATCCAATATTATGTACTTAAATATTATATCTGGCAAATAGTATACATATTTGGACATTCTTATTAAGTGCCTACTGGGTCATGGAAATGTTATCTCTATCTTCTTGGGAAGATATGTTTAGCAGTGCAGGTCACCAGCGTATGTATAATGTTTCATGTGAGTTGGTGCCAGCTCCTGGTACATAATATATATGCTTCAAACAGATACCTGCCTTTCTTTGCCCGGCCGGGTGTGGCTCAGCAGCTGAGCATCGACCAAAGAACTAAGAGGTCACCGGTTTGATTCCCAGACAGGGCACATGCCCAGGTTGTGGGCTCCATCCCCAGTAGGAGGCATGCAGGAGGCAGCTGATCCATGATTCTGTCTCATCATTGATGTTTCTCTCTCTCTCCCTCTCCCTTCCTCTCTGAAATAAAAATATATATATATTTTTTAAAAGTGCTTAAAAACAAAAAGTAGTTCGTACTCCTCAGATGTATAAAGAAAATTCATTTTCCGCATTTTCTGTAATTGCTCTGTTTTTCTCAGACCCATGTAAAGGGTAGGTTTCAACGTGTGCGCTTAACATGTTGCAGTCATGTAAACCCCGGGTTAGGTAACTGAGCCACTTTTAAGTAAACGATCAGACCCTCAGATTTAGTCCCACTCTGCAAGATTCCCTAGGGATAGAAATTTGGCGAGAGAAGGTTTGGGTATTTTTGTGTGTGTTTTTAAAAGATATCTGTATTGATCTCAGAGAGGAAGGGCGAGGGAGAGATGGAAACACCAATGATGAGAGAGAGTCATGGACCGGCTGCCTCCTGCACGCCCCCCGCCGGGGACTGAGCATGTCATAAATAGCCACAGGGCCCTGGGCAGAAAGACAGGTTCCCCACCCCGGCTCGAAGGGGCCCAGCTCTCCCACCCCCACCCCCACATTCACAGGCTCCCTCTTCCTTGTCTGGGCATTTCTCTCCCTCCCTCCACCCACCTTGGGTTCCTGCCTCCCCGGAGAAGAACAGGACAGGACGCCTGTTGAGCTCCGCCTCTTGCCTTTATTCCTCCTTTTCTCCAGGTTCTGGGAGGACACGCCTTCCCTTTCCTGCATGTTGCACCCCCACTGTTCCCACCCCGTGGCCTCTGGGAGGAGATCTCTGTGACCCATCTTGCCTTGCTTGGCTCCGGGTGTGTGGACAGGAGCTTGAAGGATCTCAGTGCCTCCCCTGCCCTTACTGAGGGACTCGGACCCAGGGCCGGAAGGAAGCAGCCACTGAATAGGAAATGAAAGCATGTTGCTGTAATATGTCCACAGCATTATCTCTGTTACATCTAGCTCCATGGGCGTGCATCCCGGCTGGTTATTAAAAACCGTTGAAGGTCTTGTACAAAGTACGGATGCCAGGCCGCCACAGACGAATGAAATCAGAGCGTCGGCCATCGATCAGCCCGAGGCTGGGAGGATGGGAGGAGTTTAAGTAAATGGCTCAGCGTCCCACTCCGCGGTGCCCTGCCTTCCGCCTACACTGCCCAGCGCCCCTCTGGGCCCGGCCAGCGTTTCCCGTTCCTCAGTAGGCATGCAGGCCGCTTCCCGAGTTAGTTCATGTTTAGTGCAGTGTGTGGAGCATATATATTTCGTATATGATTTAGGTAGGAAACAAATCAAGCCAGCCAGCGTGGGTCCGTGGTTGTGCGTCGGCCTATGAACCAGGAGGTCACGGTTCAATTCCCGGTCAGGGCACATGCCCGGGTTGTGGGCTCGATTCCCAGTGCGGGGCGTGCAGGAGGCAGCCGATCAGTGATTCTCTCTCATCATGGATGTTTCTGTCTCTCTCTCCCTCTCCCTTCCGCTCTGAAATCAATAAAAATATATTTATTTTTTAAAAAGAATGGAACTGATTTTGTCACCGACCACAGCTGGTGGACGTGGCTGTGGCCTTTTAGAAGGAGTGGCCATCAGGGCCTGTCATCTGGGCCTTTGCTCAGGTTCGGGCGGGCAAGCCATTCACACAGGATCAAAAACCTGACGGTCAAAGGCTCCCCTTTCTCTCTGCTCCCCCCGCAGCCTGGGTGCGTGAACACCACGGAAGTGGACATCAAGAAGTCGTCCCGAATGAGAAACCCCCACAAAACCCGGAAGGTAAGACCCCCCCGGGCGCCGTGCTGCCCTCAGGAATGAGCTCCGCGGACGGACGTCGGCCGTGAGCACCTCTGCCCCCTCTTCATCCAGAGTCTTCGCGTGTCTCCCCTGCTCGTCCTTGTCGCTTGGCCAGAGGAAAAGCTTGCCACTCAAGCCCCCGTCGTCCTCCGGTCCCCCTCTCCCGAGGACCCCGCCCCATCCTGGGGCAGCAGGTGTCTGTGCCAGGGAGGGGGCAAGGCTGCTGAGGGCCCCCCAACCCTCCATCGGGGAGAAGGGCCATCAGCAGTGGGAGGCCTCTTTCAGAGAGCAGGCGACGAGGAAATGGAGATGGACACTAGCTGAGAAGAATGGGACTGAAAGGCATTTTAGTTTTTTTAATAATATGTTTTTATTGATGTTAGAGAGGAAGGGAGAGGGAGAGGGAGAGGGAGAGAGAGAAGCATCAAGTTCATAACCTAACCACGCCTTTGTTTCAGAGCTGTGCTTCTGTTCTACACCCCTAAGACATATAGGATAGCGGTGCCTTTTAAAAATATATATATTTTATTGATTTTTTACAGAGAGGAAGGGAGAGGAATAGAGAGTTAGAAACATTGATGAAAGAGAAACATCGATCAGCTGCCTCCTGCACACCCCCTACTGGGGATGTGCCCGCAACCAAGGTACATGCCCTTGGCCGGAATCGAACCCGGGACCCTTCAGTCCGCAGGCCGACGCTCTAGCCACTGAGCCAAACCGGTTACGGCAGTGCCTTTTGAATTTTGATCAGAAGCTTAAACAGATCTGCCTCGAGGTTACCTTCCTGAATATATCACACAGAGTTACCTGTCAGCAACTCCGTGACTGCCCGTGCTGTTCTGTCCTAACCTGTTTCTTTTTTTTTTGTCGTTTCATATAGTCTGTCTATGGTTTACAAAATGATATTCGAAGTCACAGTCCCACCCACACGCCCACGCCAGAAACGAAACCTCCCACAGAAGATGAGTTACAGGAGCAGGTGGGTTGACCTGTGCCATGGCCTGTTAATGGTTTGCAGAGTAGCAGCTATGAAAACCAGGCGGTGAATGTGTAATAGCAGATGTTTTAAAAGCTTAGTCGTATGGTTGACTGCTTCATAGAGAAGAATTTTCAGTTAAAAAGTAATGGAATTGTCTCATTGTAAGGTATGTAACTCCCCAAGTCCTTTATCTCTACCCCAACCCCATTTTTTAAAGTCACACGCACTAGTTTATTTTGTACCCCGACACGGGGTCTTATAGAATGAGAAGACAACATGTTGTCTACATCGCCATGGCTTCACCATGTCCAATCATGTGACATGATTTTCACAAATGAGTGTTTATTCTTGTTTCTACAGTCTGGTCTCTAACTCTATACGCCTCTTGATTTTTTAGCTCTTTCAGGTCTCTCTCATTTGATTTTCTTTTTTTAACAGACTTTGGAATTTTACTGATGTAGAACATGTTCTTGTTTGGAATTTCCCAGTTTATCAGAAATTAGAGCTGAAAATTATGAGAATCTCGCTACTTACCTAGTATATAACTATTTCTTTAACTCTGTTTTCAGATAAACTATTGGCAAATACAGTTAGATAGACATCGGTTAAAAATGTCAAAAGTTGCTGATAGGTAAGTATTTGGAGATGTCTTTATACACTTCAACTTTTTATCTGACAATGAAATCTGATAAAAAAATGGTAACTGTTGGAAGAGGGCTGAGATAAGTGATTGGAACCCTGTAATAAATGTTTATTTGTTTTTCCTCATTTATTTTTAAATATTTTTATGGATTTCAGAGAGGAAGGGAGAGGGAGAGAGAAACGTCAATGATGGGAGAGAATCATTGATCAGCTGCCTCCTGCACGCCCCCTACTGGGGATCGAGCCCGCAACCCCGGAATCGAACCGTGACCTCCTGGTTCATAGGTCGATGCTCAATCACTGAGCCACACCAGCTGGGCTGTCTTGTTGCAGTTTAAATTAATTACAGAATGATCCTTATTGTCTTACATCCCTAGAGGTCCAATCCTTGAACAACCAGCATCAGATACAGAAGATAATTCCAAGGCCTTCAATCTTCTCCCTCCTGCTGGGAGAAATGACCCTTTCAACTTCCGAAGTTGGCCTTTCTTTAAATTCACACTGAGTTATTGCATAACCTCAAAATTGGAATTAAACGCAGATTTTATATTTTTTCCATTTCTTTATTTAAATCTGTTCTAAATATCACTTGTGTTCTGCACTTTGAGGCATTGTCAAATCCTACCTCTTCAACTTTTTTCCTCTCCTCCTCTTATTTTTATTTTTAAATACGGATCTAAAAAATTTTTTTGCTCAGCGAGTCACTCCCCTTTTACCTAATTTCTATAAATACTTTAGAAAAAAATGACTTTTTAACCTCTTTTCCAAGTTGGCTCAAATCACTTCAGCTGCGGGCGGACTGGTCGACCAAGGATCGGAGCTGACCCTTAGCCCTGCCCTTCACACACTGACCTCTTCTGTTCTGTTTATTGTAAATGGAGGGATATTGACTCACACGGCGTAGGCAGGGGGGGTGGGGGCGGGATGGAATCCTTGGCCACTGTCTTCTGAGAAGCACAATAAGTGAATGCATGTAAGGTATTGAAATGTGAAAACGGCCATTGGATTTCATGCTGGGAACCATCAAGGATTCCTTGGCCAGACATTTTCATAGTGTCCCTTACTTTGGGCTGGTTGTAACCTCCGCCAGACAGCTAAGGGAGACGAACATGTTTCTTCTCCCCAGTCTGCTAAGTTACACGGAACAGTATTTAGACTACGACCCGTTCTTTGTGCCGCCTGACCCTTCCAACCCATGGCTGTCTGACGACACTACTTTCTGGGAACTGGAGGCGAGGTGAGTGCCATGTTCCCGTCCCTCAAAATATTTCCCTTATTTCAGGGTTTGGGTTCAACAGGAAGGATCCTGAACGGAATGTGTCTGGTTTGCTTTTGTCTCCTCAAGCAAAGAACCGAGCCAGCAGAGGGTCAAACGGTGGGGGTTTGGAATGGACGAAGCATTGAAAGACCCCGTTGGGAGAGAACAGTTCCTTAAATTCCTAGAGTCGGAATTCAGCTCAGAAAACTTGAGGTAAGACGTGTTTTGCCGGTCGTATACAATAAGCCAGAGATGCCACCCGTGGTGTGTCCGGTCGTGGAGGACGAAACAGGTCAATTACTCTCCCACCAACATCATGGTAAGGACATGAGCCCATTGAATTCCTGCCACCTGATGGAGGAAGAAGAAAAAAAGATAAAATAAGGCAAAGTCTGTCCAACAGGCTCCATCCCTCGTGGTGGTTTATTTTTACCCTGTCTTTTTACATATACATTTTGTGCATTTGAAATGGACTCCATAAAGAAGCGTTTGGCAAAGTGGAAAATGGCCAATAATGTTTCTGCACTTAAATTAAAACATCGACTACTTATGAATATTGGTCTTCCTTGCATATGGTTTCTCAAGTGAGGTCTACAAAAAGAGACTGGGTGCTTGTGTCAAATAACTTGAGCCCTCGCTGGTGTGGCTCAGTGGGTAGGGCGTCGGCCTGCAGACTGAAGGGTCCCAGATTCGATTCCGGTCAAGGGCACGTGCCCGGATTGCGGGCTTCATCCCCAGCACGGGGTATGCAGGAGGCAGCCGATCAGTGATTCTCTCTCATCACTGATGTTTCTCTCTTTCTCCCTCTCCCTTCCTCTCTGAAATCAATTTAAAAAAAGAATCCAGAGTCAGGGGCGGGGAATAACTTGAGACGAATCTGTGGGGGCAGCTCTTTTCTTTGCCCATTAAACACAGCCTCAGGCAGTTGAGAGCAGCACCACATTACTCTGCTGGTTAGGGAGGGATCCACATTCCGCCCATCTGTTGCAAACATCATCCCCACATATTTTTGAGATTTTTCTAACTTGAGGGACGCCTGGAAATTCAATCTTTAAGTGGGAGACCCTGGAGGAGACTTTCGTAGCCCCGAGGAATGGTAACTTTCCACTCCCTGAGACCGTTTTTCCATGAGCGCTCTCACGCATTATCCTTTTGAAACACAAGGCCCTAATGCCCTTACCCATGACACATGCCGTCCTGTGAAATTCATTTCCCGAAAGGTCTCAGCGTTCATCTGTTTTCATAGGAACGAAGCAGGGCCAGGCACTGTCGCATTCTTTTGGGGGAATTTAACAGATACCAACAACAGAGCGCTCAGGAACATGCAGAACTTTGACAGATGTCCCAGGGATTAAGCAAGGTGACCGCACACAGAACCAGGAGGAGTTTCATCGTACCCGTGTGCCCACCATGGGTTGTTAGGTTGCAGCTTCCTCTTATCCTTCAAGTTCACGGGAAGCTTCTCAAGGTTATGAGAGCTACAGTTGCTAAGGATTTCCTTGAGCCTACCGAGGAACATTTTCTCTATTCAGGTCACATCATCATTTATTTTTTTTATACAATCCTATATAATAAAAGCCCACTATGCTAAGAGTCCGGTCAACCGGTCGCCGTTCAACCAATCAAAGCGTAATATGCTAATGCTAAACCAAGGCCGCTCAACCGCTCGCCATGATGTGCACTGACTACCAGGGAGTTTATTTTTACCCTGTCTTTACCCATAAAAATATATTTTTATTGATTTCAGAGAGGAAGGGAGAGGGAGAGAGAGATAGAAACATCAGTGATGAGAGAGACTCATTGATCGCTGCCTGCTGCACGCCCCACACTGGGGATCGAGCCCGCAACCCAGGCATGTGCCCTTGACCAGAATGGAACCCAGGACCCTTCAGTCCACAGAGCAAAACTCTATCCACAGAGCCAAACCGGCCAGGGCTAACCATTTCTTATCTCAGTAATTCTATGCCCACTGGTTTCCCTGCGAATGAATTGCATATGAAACATTCCATCTATCCATATATGTGAAGGGTTTCGATGCCCCTGCAAATATAAGCCTTTCGGGTTGTTGCCTGGGACAGCTTTCTGCTTCTGCCATCCCATCACTCTCTGCATTAATGGCCCAAAATTAGCTACTTGCCCTGATTTCTCCAGCGAGGGCCGTTCTGAGCTGAGCCCAGAGCTCTTTTAACTCCAGGAAAGGTTGGGTGTAATCCCCTTGCCAGGCAGAGCAGGAAATCCTCTCTGTGCTGACCCTCAGCGCTCAGATGGACACAAGGCCCAGAGACTACAGGACAGACAGTGCACGGCTCTATCCCCCCACCATATGCTGTGTGTCACTCACCCTGGCACCCTCCAAACCCTAGTTCCTCTCTAATAAATGGGTCTTCCCAGCTTCAATAAAATGGAGGTTGCACAGAATGGGGGCTCTGGTCAATCCACTTTCTTAAAAAATATACTTTTATTGATTTCAGAGAGGAAGGGAGAGGGAGAGAGAGAGAAACATCAATGATGAGAGAGAATCATGGATCAGCTGCCTCCTGCACGCCCCACATTGGGGATGGAGCCCGCAACCCGGGCATGTGCCCTGAACGGGAATCGAACGCTGACCTCCTGGTTCATAGGTCGACGCTCAACCACTGAGCCACGCCAGCCGAGCATGGCCGATCCGCTTTTAACAGCAAACACTTAAATTATTTTCAGTATTGCTTTATGAAACATTTTACACCTTTGAATACAACTAATAAAAAAAAAAAATCGGTCAAGGCTCAATGTCGGAAGCCCTCAGAGAAAGTGAATTCACCCTGAGACCTCACTGTGGATCGATTTTATAAGGATTTTCAGATTATGAGACATTGTGTGACCAGACAATGCATGGGTCCGGGCTGCCTGTCACGACTTGAGCCATTTCAGCAGAGACAGGGGTGAGTCCTAGATGAGCGTTGATTCCAGTCCTGCCGGCAGCGTGGAGAGCGGCGGGGCACCCACAAACATCTGCTCTGCCCCCTCCACCAGCCAGCTGCTTATATTGGGGAGAAGGACAGAGATCACTTGGGAAAATAGGTAAAAGGGCTAATGGGCAGTTTCTGCTGCAAAATTGTTAATATTTCCATGATCACAGGCAGCTCCCGGGTAGGGAGGAGGGACCGCGTTTCCAGGTGAGCGCCCAGGCCCACAGGCCACTCCCAGCCAGGTTAGGCTGTGCCTTCTCCAATCAGAATAACACCATCGCGGCCAGCAGAGCGTGATGACTGTTCCTTACCCTCCTAGCTGGTCCCCAACAGCCTGTTTCTGCCCCATCCATTGGAGTGAATGCTCGGTGTCGCCCCACGCAGGTTCTGGCTGGCGGTGGAGGACTTGAAGAAAAGGCCCATCAGGGAAGTCCCCTCTCGGGTGCAGGAAATATGGCAAGAATTCCTGGCTCCAGGAGCCCCCAGTGCCATCAACTTGGACTCGAAGAGCTACGACAAGACCACGCAGAACGTGAAGGAGCCCGGACGGTACACGTTCGAAGATGCTCAGGTGGGTGCACGGTGGGCCTCGCGCTGTGTCACGCACGTGCTCCCACAGAGTTGGTGGGTGGAGAGACTTGTATTTTGTTTTTCTTGTCGTGGGCAGCCGTGTCTAATATTCCGGTTTAGGTCACGGTATGTAACATAACTCCGATTGATCTGGGAGCGTACAGGTCGCAACCCCTGAAAATACATCCTGCATATCAGATATTTACATGACGATTCATAACAGCAGCAACATGGCAGTGATGAAGTAGCCACGAAAATAATTTTATGGCCGGGGGTCACCACAACATGAGGAACTGTATGAAAGGGTCGCGGCATGAGGAAGGTTGAGAACCACTGGTTTAGAGTGACCTGTTTTGAAAAGCCTGGGAATGTTTGTAAATGTACATGGTTTTCTGTGATCATTTGTTTCTGTGTGAATATTTGAGATATTTGAAACCTTTTACTTCATTTTCTACTCTGTCACCCAATAGGTGAGCAAGCATTTATCCAAAGTGGCCCCGGGAGGGGTTGGGGGTGGAGGAAGGGAGTGGGGGAGAGATCAGCCAAAGACCTTGTATGTAGATATGCATAACCCATGGACACAGACAATAGAGGGACATATGTAAAATCAACAATAGAGATTTAAAAAATAAATAAAAATAAATTCTTTGGAAATGAAAAACAACAACAAAGTGGCCCAACCTCAATAACACATTTAACCCCTTCAGGTGTCTTTCAATATAGATTCTAAGACACTGATATTTCTAAATGATTTATTATTACTCATAGTCAGAACTAAATTAAAGTAGCGTAAGATATGCCAGACTCAAACCCGTTCCGGCACTGATGATAAAGTGGAATGCTAGATTCAGGCACTTGTTAATTTTCCAAGTTAATTTTTCAGTCTGCAAAAAGAAATGAAAGGAAATTTATATGAAGATATTAACTTCCTAAGTCAAAATTCCAAGTTTTTTCCCCCCTCAAATTGGAGATACTCTCCCCCTTCAGAACAATTTGAGTTTCCACTTTCTCTAACAAAATATTATTCTCAAGAAGAAAAATAAACTTGTAACGAGAGGATATTATTTCCTAACGATGTGTTGCAGCTGGCCTTTAAATCAGAACACGCATCCTTCATAATTTCTTAAGCCATCTTTAGAAAAGGATATTAACTCTAGAAAGCATGTCGTATGTTAAATAACAGTGTTACTAAGTAAAATACAGTATAGAACATGAACAATGAGCTTCCTTGATTTTACTCCCAGTTGAAAATATTTCCCCCTTGGCTTTGGTTTGAGGAAACAAACTACAGAGTAGGAAACGAAGAGAGCTCACTGAACTTCCGTCCTCCCTCTGTGCTAAGCTCTCCCATGTGGAAATAATTCTATCCTACGGAGACACGCGACAGGGACCAGGATAAAAACCCTGGCCTCGCTTACTTCTCTGCTTATTTATTTTGTATTTCAGTTCAAGATAAGATTCCCAACATTTTTTTTTCTGGAGCCAACAATGCGTAAACTGTTTGGCATACCCTTCCTGAAGTGGTAAAAGGAATATTTAGCCCTGGCCTGTGTTGCTAAATGGTTAGAGTGCTGGCCTGCACACTGAAGGGTCTCCGGTTGGATTCCCGGTCCAGGGTGTGTACCTGGGTTGCTGGTTCGATCCTGGCCCCTGTCAGAGCACATGCGGGAGGCAACCAATCAATATGTCTTTCTCACGGCAATGTTTTTCTCTCTCTTCCTCTCTCCCACACTCCGTCTCTCCCCCTTCCTCTCTCTAAGCTTGTCCTCCATCCATTTTATAAAATGGATGTGAAATGGTTACCAGTCTTGCTGAGGTCCTGTGAGGACTACATTAACTGATACAGGCGCGCACTCAGACGCGTACCTGGCATAGACTCAAGTAGATTTGAGTACTTGCTGTGCACAGCTCCATGCTCTGCTCAACACTTACCATTCCTTTCATTCTCACAAGAACTCTGTATTCTACATTAGAAATGAACGCGGAGGGAGATGGGTAAATTGGCCCAAATTTGTACTGTGTGACTGAGGTCTTTAGCAAGAGAGTGTCTGATTCCCAAAATGCCTGACTCCAGAGCAAAGACATGATTTCACTCTTACAGCTACAAACCGATACGGTTTTCAGTGTCCCGGATGCTTGGAGAGGAACCTTGGGCTAGGGCAGTGGTTCTCAACCTTCCCAATGCCGCGACCCTTTAATAGGGTTCCTCATGTTGTGGTGACCCCCAATTTCTTTGTTACAAATTGAACATAATTAAAAAGCATCGTGATGAATCACAAAAACAATATGTAATTATAGATGTGTTTTTCCTTTGAGTCTGCAGGCCGACGCTCTATCCCCTGAGCCAAACCGATCAGGGCTAAGATGTGTTTTTCCGATGGTCTTAGGCGACCCCTGTGAAAGGGTCGTTCGACCCCCAAAGGGGTCGCGACCCACAGGTTGAGAACCGCTGGGCTAGAGCGAGGCTTCATCCTGACGTATTGAAGTGCATTCAGAGCATCTCCACATTATTGCTGGTGTGTTTGAGACGAGGAGAAATGAGTCATTTCTAAAATTCTATATTTTCTCCAAATAAGAAGAGTCTAGGACATCCAGACACTCTCAAAGGTTTCGAAACTCTACATTGACCTGGAGTAGTTGGAAGCGCCAGCAGATTGATTTATATTCCCAAATAATCCATAGCAATCAACAACTTGATGTAGAATCCCTTTATGACATTCTGTTAACGAAATTCCATTGATGTTCAGCGTAGCTCCTCAGCCAGTTTTAAAATTGATTTATGAATCAGATAATGAACTTGAGGATCTGCTTGTTCTGTCAACAGAAGGTGTTCTCGGCAGCAGCAGAATCGGTCTTTATTTCCAGCTGCTTCCGGATTGGTTTTCCAACTGTCCGTTGTCTTCTGATCACGGCGGTTGGTTTCCCCTGAGAAATGACGGAGCCGCGCCCTAACCGTTCTTTCTTTCCAGGAGCACATTTACAAACTGATGAAAAGTGATTCATACCCACGTTTCCTACGATCCAGTGCCTACCAGGAGCTTCTACAGGCAAAGAAAAAGGTACCGGTTCTTTGTGACCTTTTTAAATCATTCTTTGGAGAGGTGACCTCCATGGGGCCCCGGGGAAGTGGACAGAGGGTAAGTGAACACGCCCCGAGACCCTCCCCAAACCCGTGCCTTTTATAAGAGCCATTTAAGTTCTCTTTGCTTCTCTTTGTTGATCGCTTATTTTCTTTTTTGTTTGTTTCTGTAGATGTTCTTACTTTGCAGAGTGTTTTTTTTTAAGCTGTTTTTCATGTTTCGTGTTAGTCTTCGATATGCCTAGTTCAAGGAAATAAAAAATTGCAATAGCCCGGCCGTTGTGGCTCAGTGGTTGAGCGTCGACCTAGGAACCAGGAGGTCATGGTTCAATTCCCGGTCAGGGCACGTGCCCGGGTTGCTGATCCCCAGTAGGGGGCGTGCAGGAGGCGGCCTGTCAGTGAGTCTCTCTCATCATTGACGTTTCTCTCTCTCCCCCTCTCCCTTCCTTTCTGAAATCAATAAAAGCATATTTAAAAATTGCAATAAAGAAAGGAAAAGAATGATCTCATTAAGCAAATTTTCTTTGTTCACAGTAAACTAGAATGTATGTTTTTAGCCACAGACGCCATAACTAAAAATACTCTTTTTTTTTCTCTCCCAGTGGTAGCTGTCAAAATGTAGGGATATTGGCTTCTGAATATTTTTCACTTGGTATTTAGCCTGAATCCCTCAGTAACCCAGTACCCACCCACATTCTGGAAGAAGTGCAATAGACCTCATTATTCAGTTCATGTTTATCTTCAAAGTCTTCCTGTCGAGGGTACCCTATCTCATCCAGGTAACGTGATACGGACTACCTGGACATAAACATCTTCACTCATTGTTTCTTAGCATGAAAAGCGTTCATAGCTTCTTTAAATTCTGAGATGAAACTGTAATTTTTTATACTTCAGGATCATCCTTAGGCTAATGGGATTTTTTCAAAGTACTCTGTAGATCAGCGGTTCTCAACCTGTGGGTCGCGACCCCTTTGGGGGTCGGACGACCCTTTCACAGGCATCGCCTAAGACCATCGGAAAACACATAGATAATTACATATTGTTTGTGTGATTAATCACTATGCTTTAATTATGTTCAATTTGTAACAATGAAAATACATCCTGCATATCAGATATTTACATGACGATTCATAACAGTAGCAACATTACAGTTATGAAGCAGCCACGAAAATAATTTTATGGTTGGGGGTCACCACAACACGAGGAACTGTATTAAAGGGTCGCGGCATTAGGAAGGTTGAGAACCACTGCAGTAGACAGATCGTCCCATACAGCAACCACTGGCCACATGGGGTGTTTAAGCTGAAATGGAAGTTAATTGAGATCACACAGAATTCTGGCCAAATACGAAGTCCTCCGTGATCACAGCTAACGGCTTCTGAAATACTGGACAGCGTAGAATGAAATTGCCATCTTTCAGACATTTCCATTGGATGGCAGTGCTTTATAAAATTACTAGTTCTCAACAGCAATCTGGTTCTGATGGAAAATTATTAGGAGCGAATGCCTCTAGATTTTCAAAGATTTGGCAGATGTCAGCATAAACACGTCGCTGTGTCGGTGTATCTTCTTCATTTTAGTGTAGTTGCATTTTACTTGAAATCCCCCCATTTTGTTTGCATGAGAAGAGTTTTGATGTTTAAAATAAAAATCATTGCCCGGCCAGCGTGGCTCAGTGGTTGAGCATCGACCTAAGAACCAGGAGGTCACGGTTCGATTCCCTGTCAGGGCACATGCCCGGGTTGTGGGCTCGATCCCCAGTAGGGGGCATGCAGGAGGCAGCCGATCCATGATTCTCTCTCATCATGGATGTTTCTCTCTCCCTCTCCCTTCTTCTCTGAAATCAATAAAAAGATTTTTAAAAAAATAACAAGAAAATAAAGTCTTTAATAAAAGGAGGCCTTCCTTGGCAGCTCGGCCCCCTCCCGGTCCCCGTGGGTTAGGACATGATTTGGTGTTTTATCATTTCCTCTCCTGTGTCTTTCTGCTCTGTTTTCTTTCTTTCTTTCTTTTTTTTTTTTTTTACGTCCCCTGTTTCCCTTTGCCTTGCCCCACCCCGCACGTGTTCAGTCGGAACCCTCCATGGATCGCAGAACATCTTTTGAGAAATTTGCCCAGAATGTGGTAAGTCTTCTTTGGGGAGGAATGACGCACCCTTAAGTCCAATCAAGCGATGTCCCCAATTTCTCACCCCGTCTCCCACGCGGGTGTAACAGCCAAGGTGCTGCCTCGATTCAAACCCAGAACTTGGATTCTATCTACCCTTGGGTCTCAGCCCTTCCCAGGGTAGAAAAAGAAGTCTCCTATGAAAAACTACAAGTACCCATCAAGCCAAGGTTTGCAAAGACCCCCGTATTATAATACGTAAAATGAAGAAATCATTATTTTCTTACGTTTTTCTTTTTATTCACTATATCCCTTTATTAAAGAGAGTGCATGAGTTTCTATGATCTCCCCCTTGGCTTTCTGTAACGCTTAAAAGATTAAGAACAGTGAGGGGGCCTGTGCTTTCTACATCTGTAGGGAGAAAATGACCTATTTGGTCCGAATGGTGGCCGGTGACAAGCTATGCCCCTCACTGGCCCGCCACCAGGCCTCCCTTCTTCATTCTTTTTCAGGAAAGCTGTTGAAAGTTGTTGCGTACCTCATTCAGGAGGCCACTCCTTTTTATGCCACCGTTTTCTTAGCCTCTAGCCATGTGTTTGGGTGATATATTTGTGTGTGGGATTGTTCCTCCTCTTCTTTTTTTTCTTTGTATTGTGCCAGTGCCTTGGGAACTTTCCGACCTGGTGCGAGCTCCAACTAAAGCCTTGACCGCATTTATTTTTATAGGGCAGGAACCTCCCCATTTTCCCATGCCATAAAAACTGTACTCCAACACTGAGGGCCAGCACTAACCTGTTATGAAAAGAGGTAGACCACTCTCGGTTTCTACTCCAGTTCGTCCGCATTGTCTGTGGAGTTGTCTGGTTGGCTCCATGCTGCTGCTGCTGTGTGTGTGTGCGTGTGTGTGTGTGTGTTGTGTGGTGTGCTGTGTTGTGGCTTCTGCTGTGATGCCTAGTTCAGTGGAGTTGTGTGTGTTGAAACGTCAGCAAATTGGATTCAACGGAGATGTGGTGTTTGCTTTCAGTTTCCTTCCGAGATCTTGGCGGTGGGGAATGTCCATCGGCCGTGTGTACACATGGCACGTGGTGACCGTGGGCGGAGATTTTGAAAGACGGCAAAGAGCCGTGTCCACTTTGAACATTCCACGGGGTTGTACAAAGTAAAGGGCTGGGACACGCCGGGCCCCGGGAATGAATCACATTAGAAACTTCCCACCATTTTGGCGGGATCTCTTGCCGTCTCTGACCTTTAATATAAGATGTCACCACGGGTCGGGAAGGGAAAAGAAACGCCTCGAGGTTTTGGCGGAGGAAGTTGCTCCGTGCTCGGTACATTGTGTAAGAATCGTTTCCAACTCGTCCTTTCCGAATGTAATGCCGACAGAATATCGTTCGTGAGGCTAGAGTGGACGTCTCTGTGATAGAATTAAAAGTAATACTGCAACTTAAGGAAGATGGGAAGGGGAAGCCAAATGGATGTCTTTCCTCCAACCCCATCCCTGATTCTGACCAAGTTCCCCAGCTCTTAAAACAGCACCACATTTACTTGTTTTGATGTTTTCAGATTCCACATATAAGTAAAAGCATATGGTATTTGTGTTTCTCTGTCTGACTTACTTCGCTTAGCGCAATACCATCTAGGTCCACCCATGTTGTCATAAATTACAAGATTTTATTATTTTTTTGATGAACAATATTTTATTATATATATTACATATATATATATGTATACACACACACACACACACACACACACACACACACACACACACTAGAGGCCTGGTGCACAGATTCCTGCATCAGTGGGATCCCATGACCTGGCCTGTGGGAATCGGGCTGAAACCAGCAGTCTGACATCCCCCAAGGGGTCGAGAGGGCACTCTGCAAAGTTGCTGTCGCTTGGCAGCTCCTGCATTGAGCGTCTGCCCCCTGGTGGTCATTGCATGCTATAGCTACTGGCCGGTCAACCGGTCACTTAGGCTTTTATATAGATATATATTTATATATCTCCCATCTCTTCTTTATTCATTTAGCTGTCACGGGACACCGAGATATGCTTCCATATCTTGGCCCTCGTAAATAATGCTACAATGCACATAGGGCTGCAGATATGTTTTCCAATTAGTGTTTTCATTTTCAGGGGATGGGTGGAAAAGGTGAAGGGGGAGAAGAAGTGCACACTTCCTGTTATGAAATAAATCAGTCCCTGGGATAGAGTGTACAGCACAGGGGATAGAGTCAGTAACATCACAACAACGTCGTATGGTGACAGATGATTACTCGGTTTATTGTGATGACCACATTGTAAGGGATATAAAGGCAGGATGACTCTATTGAACAATTAAAACAATATACTGTAGCCCTGACTGGTTTGGCTTAGTGGATAGGGCGTCGGCCTGCAGACTGAAGGGTCCCAGGTTCGATTCCGGTCAAGGGCATGTACCTTGGTTGTGGGCACATCCCCAGTGCGGGGGGGGTGCAGGAGGCAGCTGACCCAAAATTTATTTTGTTCCCAGAGTCTTCCCCTCCCCACTGATCACCTTGCTCCTTGATAAATGCTGCCACCGGGTGACACCCTCCTCTGGAGGGTGAGCCCATTTTCAATTCGTGTTTACTTGTAGAAGTTTAGTGTCCTGGTCCTGCATATTGTTATAACCTGGTTCTAGAAATAGCATCACAAGCCCTAGCTGGTTTGGTTCAGTGGATAGAGCATCAGCCTGCAGACTGAAGGGTCCCAGGTTCGATTCCGGTCAAGGACACATGCCCCGGTCGTGGGCTCGATCCCCGGGAGGGGGCGTGCAGGAGACAGCCGATCAATGATTCTCATCATGGATGCTTCTCTCTCTCTCCCTCTCCCTTCCTCTCTGAAATCAGTAAAAATATATTTTTAAAAAATGATACCCAAGCAGATCAGGAACTGAGTGAAGGAAGGTTTTGACTTGTATCCGTGCAACTTTAGAACTTTGGGTGTATTATTTTTCGGGTTGAGTGCTGTAGATTTTATTACTTGAGATTCCAGGTGTATTCATACAGATGAACTGTCTGAGAAAATTCCTAGAGCACCTGGAGTAAATATAATGTATAAACTCGTCACTGGGCTCCCTACCAGAGATCTCACCAACAAACACATAAAGTGAGTCTGGACAGAGATGAACTTTTTTCTCCTCTTTCTCCTCTCAGGGACCTGAAACTCACCTCATTTATCATATTGTTGTTGGCATCTATGGCTACCCACCTTGTTTTATTGAAACTCAAGCGGCTTGTGGTGATAACTTGCCTGAGAAAGCAATTTTAGGAACATCGATTGCTATGAAATGTACCCGACCGTGTAGCCTGTTTGGTTTGGACAATAGATCTTCATTTCCCTCTAGTAGCATCATCCATTCTGAAATTGCCACTCACGTCCCATAAGCTGTGAAGTGCACAGTGGTTTTTGGTCAGAGAGCATCCCAGGGGTTCCTAAGGAATGTTTCGAGGCTGCCGAATAGACAGCCGCCAGTGAGAAACTTCTCCCGGAAACGGAAGTTTCAATAGCATTTCCCCAAGTCCTGTTCTGATCTACTTGACCTTGGGTCGATGGCCGTGGCTCTGAGGCCCCAGCTACCTGTGTTGATGGAGACATCCTGGGGGCCTCTGTGTAATTAGCATGTAACCTAGTAGCTCCCATGTACCCAAGCACTACCCCCATACAGTGGGGCCTTGACTTACGAGTTTAATGCGTTCCGTGACGGAGCTCGTAACTCAAATTACTCGTATGTCAAATCAAAAAGTGAACGAGTGAGACACGTGATGCTGAGCTGATGTTGTGGTGTTCACTGTGACGTTCGCTGCGCCAACTAGCGGTGGGGTATCTGAAGCTGGCTCGTAACCCGAATTTTAGCTCGCAACTCAAAGCAAAAAGTCGGCCAAGAGACGGCTCGTATCTCGAAAAACTCGTTAGTCGGGACACTCGTAAGTCAAGGCCCCACTGTATTTCCATCCAACAAAATGACAACAAGCACTTTGCCCCCTATCGGAGGACACACACATCGAGAGACATGGCCACTCCTCTTAGGAAGCTCGAGGTGTATAAGAGGGTCGATGCCGACAGGAATAGCTCATCTGGGGCTGGCACTGCCAGCGGCACCAACGTCGGGTCATTCTTCTCATGAAAGTGATTTCATACACAGTTCATAGGAGTGTAATTGCTAATCATTTTCCCAAATGAAACCTTACAGAATGTGTCAAACCTGCAAAATATCTCTCACTTTCAATGTCATTCAACTTTTAATAAATCATTTTAAGAAAGGCAGGTGTTCACACCCAAGCAAGAGTATCTGTTGCATCTTATAAATGCCAAACAGAAGACACAGTCTGAATGCACAGTTGTGAATTTCTTAAATGCATCAGGGTATATCTACCTGGCAGAATATTACGCAGCGATTAAAAATTAGGTTTTAGAGTAGTGGTTTTCATCTTTATTTTTTGCCACCCACATTGGACATAGTAATGCATACATGTTTGTGTGTGTTACTACATAAATGGTACTGTCTAGAACTAAACTCTAACATATAAACTATCTGTGTTTAGAACTAAAATTATCCTTATTATGTGCAACACAGTCTGAGATATTCTGACCTATTCTATAATATTCAATTATTTTCTTAATGTTGTCTGCATCTTTCTAAATTGATTTTCCTACCCACTAACGCAATGAATGTGAACAAAACATTATATTAGAAGAAATATGTGTAGCATGGATAATTGATCAAAATATAATTATTTTAATATACATGTTACTCATAATAAGTCACAATATTATGCACAGCGTAATTCCAGTTTTAACAAACCATATTTTTGTATAAAAAGTAGGTGATATATTAGTATGTAAAAAAATGTATTTCATATAATGTTTATTTCTTGTAATATTTTTCTGTGCTTTTCTCATTTTTCTCTAATGGACCTACTCTACTTTTATTTCAGGAAAATATTTTTAGCTAAGGGAATTAAAGTATTTGTCTTGTTCTTTCTCGGTCCACACAGAAGCTAGTAATCAGTAGTTAAATGTAAATGTGCTCCTAAACCATCTCTTTTTAGTCCATCATGACAGAATTTTTTCAGTGTTCAACATTAAACACACCAGGTCTCAACAATTTGAGTTTAACTTTCTAGGAACTCACACTCTATACAGTTTTGATAAAATAATTCCAATCTGAAATGTTTACCACTCCAAAGTACTTGTAACTAACAGGGACACTTTAACTTGCAAGATCGCCCCCCAACATGAAGATGTATTCTCGGCCTTAACACAATATGTGGAATCAGAATCTATGGGATTATTCCAGGGTTGGGGTTGGAGGAAATCAGGTAGGAAAAGCCAGGGCGATGCCTCAAGTTTGAAGTAAGGAGCAAAGAGGTCTTTTCCTTGGATGTATAATTGGCACCTTTCTCTCCGTCACTCTGTAGGATGAGGGACAGACTCGATCTTGAGGGTTCCACCCATCACACCATCAAAAATACATTTCACTTAATGAAATCACCCTCTGGGCATCTCTCGATATTTATCAGTGCGGCACCAATCCCAGCAGCTGAGCCAGAATGCATGCACGTCGCTATCTCCCGGGGCAGCTTACTGGGTTTCCTTGGACCGTGTTTATCCCCAGCGGCTAACCTAGGTGTTGCGTCATCGCTGAGCCTGGATGGGACGTGGATGGACATGTTTTCTGAGTTGCTGCTCTGTGCTGTGAACCCATCAGTCTGTTTGCAATGGGGAGGAGGCGGGCGGGAGGGTGGGAGGAGGGAGGGTCATCTTGTCCCATGTGTTGCTGGGAGGGAAGCTGGCCCTGGCGTTTGAGCTACGATGTACCCCAAGGGTCCCGTGTTCACCCTCGAACACAGATAAGCTGTGAGGAGTAGGTGTTACCTGTGAGCAGGTTTTCGGTGATCATACCGTGTTGGTTTCTGTTTCTTTTTCCTCAGGGGAAATCGCTCACGTCAAAGAGGCTAACGAGCCTCGTGCAGTCTAACTGATAGGACCACCCTGTATGTAGCATGGAAGCAGACCGAGTGGTTGCCTACACGTTGTCGCTCTCTGTTGTGACCTGGAGCCGAGGACCTTAGGCCAAGATGTTGCATGAGCAAAGGACCCGCGTCGTCCTTCCTTCGTGTGCCATCTCCACGGGACTCCGCCCTCTCCATGCCTCCACGTCCACACGTTGTCAGCCTACTTCCTCCACGTACCAAGCTGGATCTGTGTCTTTTCCTTTTGGATCAAGTTCAAGTGAAGTACACCTTTTACACCCTCCTCCGCCTCCCCCCTTTCTTTTTCTTTCCCGTAAAGCTTCAGCTAGACACACAGTTCACTGGAAATGGAATCCGTCACAAACTGGAAGAACTGTCCAAGCAGAGCAGCGTCTATCGATCAGTACGCCTACGGCTTCCTATTCATTAAACAACCCATTTAGCCCAGAAAGGCTCATTTCACCGAGTTAGTCGCAGAAACAAGCTCCCATTTCTGTCCGTCGTCTGTACGTTCTCGGTTCCTGTTTCTGCATTTATTTTTATACCGTATTTAAATACGAAACACCTCTTAACTCCCAATGGATTCAAGCGGATTCCTGCCCTGTAAATTTGTGTATGTTTATATCGTTGTTTTATCTTTCATTAAACGATGCAGAATCTTGTGGCTTCTGTAACTTTTGACTTTCGTGACAATTGAGAAAAAGAGCATGGTCAGAGAGCACCCACAAAAGTAGAGGAGCAATTTAAACAGTCGCCCTGGCCCTAGCCGGTTTGGCTCAGTGGATTGAGCATCGGCCTGGGGACTGAAGGGTCCCCGGGTTTGAATCTGGACCCTGGTCAGGGCCCACGCGGGAGGCAACCAATCGATGTGTCACATCGATGTTTCTCTGTCTCTCCCCCTTCCTTCCACTCTCTCTAAAAAAATCAATGGGAAAATATCCTCAGGTGAGGATTAAAGAAATAAAAATTTTTAAAAAATTTAATTAAAATAAATGATTGCCCTGGGTTTCAAGACAAGCTTGGGTGGTACAGTAACCGGGACAGATTGAACGTGTTCGATCCTTTTTCTCCCTTGAAAAATCAACCTCAATGGGACTTTGACATTTTCAGAGCTATTCATAGGCCTTTCTGCCTCATTATGAATATGCATCTCTCTCTGTTTTGCTGATGAATATTTTATTAGAATTAGGTTTGAGTGTGACTTCCCAACTCCAGGGCTGATTTTATGTCATTTATTTCTTTTTTTAAATATATTTTTATTGATTTCAGAGAGGAGGGGAAAGGGAGAGAGAGATAGAAACATCGATGATGAGAGAGAATCATGGATGGGCTGCCTCCTGCACACCCTCTCACTGGGGATCCACAACCCAGGCACGTGCCCTGACCTGGAATTGAACCCTGACCTCCTGGTTCATAGGTCGATGCCAGCTGGGCCCATTTAAGCCTTTCATGCATATCGAGTTTGTGAGTGGTGTCAGAGAGGGGTCTACTTTTATTCTTTCACATGTGAATAGCCAGTGTTTCCAGGACCATCTATTAAAGAGATTTTCTCCATTGAGTATCCGTGGCCCCCTGGTCAAACATGAGTTGGTTGCATATGTGTGGGTTGATATCTGGGCTCTCGATTCTGTCCCGTTGGTCGATGTGTCTGTTTTTCTGGATGCTTACCTTTTCTGGATCTGACCAGAAGGTGTCGCTGGGAAGTTTTTCAGACAACGATTGAGTCTCTCATTCCTTCCTCAGATGGTCTGTTAGTGAACGCAATGAAGGCTGCCATGGTCCATTCCTGCACAGGCAGTTGCAACCCCGGGCTGCCCACACAGAGTGACAGCCGAGACAGGCGATAGTGAGTGAATGTGACTCTTGATCTTAAGATGCATCCTGATTTCAGGAGAGCGAGATGCGCGGGGAAATGTATGTCTTCGAGTCCTTGGGTTCGCTGCTCGTTGTTGATGGCATCTTGGGTAACAGAGCAAAAATGTTTAAAGCTCAAGGTTTGGCGGGAGAAGAGAGCCTTGATGTCTAAGTCATAGAGATTGATTACTTTGTGTTTTTAGAATCATATTGATGCTTGCATTTATTTATTTATTTATTTATTTATTTATTTATTGTTAATCCTCACCCGAGGATATTTTTCCATTGATTTTTAGAGATAGTGGAAGGGAGAGGGAGGGACAGAGAGAGAGAAGCATCGATGTGAGAGAGACACATCGATTGGTTGCCTGCCACACATGCCCCTACTGGTCCGGGGATCTCGAGCCTGCAACCAAGGTACATGCCCTTGACCCGAATCGAACCCAGAACCTTTCAGTCCCTGGGTTTGCCGAGCCAGCACGGCCAAGGGTGAACCTGAGTGGGGGTGGTGAAGGATTGAGAAACGACAGACGAGAGAACGAAGGCTGGGTCTCGGTGGGACGCTGCTTCTCTGATGGAGAGACAGCGACAGCGCCCACAAGCCGTGTCTTTATTTTATAGCAGATTCCAGGAGGGAAAGTAAGGGCGTGGTCAAGATGTTTACAACATTCTCGTGGGTTTTGATCCTACTCAGTTACATGCACCTGAACTCTATCAAGCCCACATCACTCAGACACGTGCGGCCACGTGTTCGGACCATAGGTTCAGGCTCACAACCATAGCTGTTGGCTATAATTGTGCTGGGAGGGCCCTGCCCTCCAAGCTGGGACTTGCACGTGGCCATGAGAGGACTGTGCCCTCTCATTAGTCCGAGGCTTGAACCTGTCCAAACACTGTAGCCGCTCTCCACACCCGGGGCCGAAGCTCTACCCACTGAGCCAAACCAGGTAGGTGATGTTTGCTTCTAGAGGAAGCTTCTGCTCATCACAGTCACCAGGCCACTCTCTGAGCCGGTCTTTCGTCACCATTTGATTTAATTCGTTTTCTTTATCCTTCCATGAACTTGGGTCGATGGTTGAGCGTGTATCACAGAAGGTACAAGGACAGTAGAATCTACCCTTCACTTTTTATCTTTGAATAAAACCACTGATACTGGCACAAACTCACACCATATCCACCTACATGTAGAAACACTCTACACCAGTAGAAACGTGACCCTCATGAGAGAGGTGTCAAAGTCACTGAAAACTCCTTCAAAAGGAGAAAAAATCAATGTGGTTTCTGAGTCCTAGGGATGGGGAAATGGAGTCCCTTTCTAACTATTTAGCAAGTGTGACACCTAGCGGTCAGTTGGTATTTCTCAGGCAGCTGAAGTGCATCTGGTCACCTTGGCTGTGATGGGAGCAGAGCCCTGACCGGTGGAGTCTGTGCAACTGGGGGAAATCAGGAAAGTCACTCGGATGTTTGTTCCACCTTAAGCGACATGGACTCAAAGACAAGAGTTCCAAGCGGTCACTTCACAAGGAAGAGGGGGACAGAGCAAGGGGACTGTGCATGTTTCTTAGTAATAACCTCAATAATAAGGATTCTACAGGAGACTGGGTGCCAGGTAACTAACTATACTAAACGCTTCCACCATCACTGTCCTCTCGGCCACCTTGAAAAATAAGGCTATTGAACGCTGACAAAATAGGTAAACGACTTGCTGAGTTGCCCAAGTTCTTATAACAAAAGTTAGTAGGTTCTGCCCTGACCGGTTTGGCTCAGTGGATAGAGCGTCAGCCTGCGGACCAGGGGGTCCCAGGTTCCATTCCGGTCAAGGGCATGTACCTTGGTTACGGGCACATCCCCAGTGGGGAGTGTGCAGGAGGCAGCTGATTGATGTTTCTCTGTCATCAATGTTTCTAACTATCCCTCTCCCTTCCGCTCTGAAAAAATCAATAAAATATATATTAAAAAAAAAAGTAGGTTCAAATTTCTCTCCTAAATCCTGTGCTTTCTTGTGAGGCCACAGTCACCCAGCACATTGTAGCAGGCAGAGGGAGAAATCTTTCCTCTCTGAGTATGGCATCATGATGGGGTAACAATAAGCAATAATTGCATTATTAGATATTAATATTATTCATTAATATTATACAAATAAATCATAAATTATTATCCATGAGTGGAAGAAGACAGTTATAAAAATCTCTGCCTTAATACAGAGTTCTTGATTTTATTTGCTATTCAATTGACATGGGTGTGTATGAGTTGTTGTTGTTTTTAATTTTTAATTTGAACATTTATCCCCCAGTTTTACTGAAACATAATTGACATAGGCCACTGGCTTCGTTTTAGCTGTGCGGCATGATGTTTTGATAGATCGCGAAACGATTACCACAGTAAGTCGCGTTAACATCCATTATGAATGATCTGAGAATCTCTCTGATCCTACCTGTTGTTTTACCGTTAGGACATTATAATGTCCACCTAGAGCAGTGATGGCGAACCTATGACACGCGTGTCAGAGGAGACACGCGAACTCATTTTTTGGGTTGATTTTTCTTTGTTAAATGGCATTTAAATATATAAAATAAATGTCAAAAATATAAGTCTTTGTTTTACTATGGTTGCAAAGATCAAAAAATTTCTATATGTGACACGGCACCAGAGTTAAGTTAGGGTTTTTCAAAATGCTGACACGCCGAGCTCAAAAGGTTCGCTATCACTGACCTAGAGCTTATATGAGAATAGAAAGACAATCAAAGAAACCCTCCCTCCCTCCATACCCCCATTTTTCTGACCGGAGAGCGAATTTCAGGACATAGATCACTTGTCCGTTACTGTCTCAGTGGCCTTTGGTGGCCCCTTTCATGTTCCAAGGTTGCCCAGTAGGAGGGCGCTCTAGGCATTCTTCTCCCCCAAGCCCAGCCCTCTGAGATGTTAAATGACTAAACAAAACAGAAACAGACTCAGGTATAGAGACCAGCCTGGCGGCTGTCAGAGGGGAGGGGGGAGGGGGGCTGGGTGAAAATGGTGAAAGAATGAAGCAAAAACAAAACAAAGGAAAAACTCATAGACACAGACAACAGTCTGGTGAGAGAGAATCATTGATCAGCTGCCTCCTGCACGCCCCCCTATTGGGGATCGAGCCCACAATCCAGAGGGAAGAGGGGGTGGGGCAGGTAGAAGAGGATGAAGGGGGCTAAATGGTGATAGAAGGACACTTAACTTGGGGTGGTGAACCCAATAAAATATACAGCCCTAACCGGTTTGGCTCAATGGATAGAGCGTCGGCCTGCGGACTCAAGGGTCCCAGGTTCGATTCCGGTCAAGGGCATGTACCTTGGTTGCGGGCACATCCCCAGTGGGGGCTGTGCAGGAGGCAGCTGATCGATGTTTCTCTCTCATCATCGATGTTTCTAACTCTATCCCTTTCCCTTCCTCTCTGTAAAAAATCAATAAAATATATTTTAAAAAAGTATATATATACAGAAGATGTGCTATGGAATTGTACACCTGAAACCTACATAACTTCACTAACCAATGTCACCCCAATACATCCAATAAAAAATGAAAAACAAGCAGAGAGCTGGGGGAGGGGGGGTGTCCTGGGGGCCAGGCCATAGGCATGACTGGACCCTAAATGCTTTTCGGGCTGAGTCTGAGTCACCGGAAAAGACCTATGACACTGTTCCTTCTGTAGCTCATCATTTCTGGAAAAACCTAATCCCGGGATGTCTAAGAATGTCCCCGAGGGGCCTCGCAGATCCCTCCCTGAGTCAGAAATCCCTGGTCAATTAGCTCGAGGGCGGCTTCCAGGGGGCAACGTGATCCAAGA